CACTCCTTCTGACACTCAAGTTCTCATCCCCAAGCGCAATCACGAGTCGTTTGAGAACCTCACTAGTCGCTGTTTTATCACCCATCTTCCCGAGAGCTTCACATGCACTACTTCTGACATTCGAGTCCTCATCTCCAAGTGCAACCACGAGTCGGTTGATCACTTCACTAGTCGCTGCTTTTTCACACATCTTCCCGAGAGCTTTACATGCACCATTTCTGATATGGGCATCGTCATCCTGAAGTTGGATTGTCAGTGAGTGAATCAACAGATGGTGTGGGTTTGAAATTTGGAGGTTGGAAATCAATGAAGTCGCGTGATATCTTGTTGTGTAGTCTGGAGTTTCTAGTAGGTTAATGAATGCGGTTTGAATGGTTGGTTCGTTTGGTAATGAGGTACATGATTGCATGATCTTTTTAAGGTTTTTGTGTAGAATATGTTGTGGCATAGACGCAACAAATTTTATCGATTTTGCGATAGAATCAATGAGTTTCTGTCGGTTAGGGAGACTTAGGCTACACTCTGCCTCGTCCACGCAAGAAATCACGAGTTGTATGTGTCGCCAGCCCACTAGATCGCGGGGCTCACATAATATAGTATCCCAGAATGTATTGATGGGTGGTGGACATTTACACTTCGTAAGAAGTCCGGATGCAAATTTAAACACTAAAGTAAATCGTTGATTGTACTTTTGCTTCTTGATAAAGTCAATTGCACTCTCATGTTTATCATTTGTGAGAGTATTGACCAAGTGTCGTGCTGCAAAATGTTCTTGAAAACTGAGATGAATAAAGTAATGGCATTTGTCTATTTCAATTTGATGGCCAATTGGACCATGACCAATCGATTTCAGAATGCCAATGTTTAGTAAGTGTGGGTAATCCTCTAATAAGACATTGGTCTCATTTTCTGCTTCGTCGAGTAGTGCTGGGCGTAGTATTATAGCATTGCTTTCCATGCCTTTGAATGCCACCCTTTCTAGGAATGCCAGTTCGTTTTTGCAGTTTTCATAAACTTGTCTTTTACGCATCAATTTAACTTTTTCTATTGGAATTTCTTTTTGTTTTATCAAATATCGTCGGCATAGCCATTCGATCATTTTATCGTAAAGTGCCGTTATTGTCCACGTTTTTGTTTCTGACCAATCCTGGTTACTCCAGAGACTACAAATCAGCTCTAGATTTACCGGAATGTGTGCAATACCCCAAATGCTAGGGTTCAGTTGTAAGAAGCTTAGTAGGTTGTGATATTCAGTCTGTGAACCGTGTAATGTACTTCCAATCTGACTGAAGAATTGTTTCACGTACTTGGGAATATTTTCATCTGTAAAGCCTGTAATTTCCATGTGCACAGGGTAGAATAAGGTATTGCAGAATGGACGAGATGTCAAGATATGGTGTGTAGTTTTAAGTAACTGCTCCAGTAAATATTCCAGATGTGCTGGTATATGTTGCACGATTTCATCATAGCCATCCAAAAGCCATAGGACTCGGGTTTTATCAAGCTTCTCTCTGAAAAATCTTTCTTCTTTCTCTGTTAGAGCATGATAAGAAAAATATTCTCTTTTCACGAGGTCGATTGGAGAATATTCGGTGCCAAGTGGCAATGGAGGATAGCGATCTTTTGTCAAAATGCGCAACGGGATCAAAACAACAAGCTCATATTCGGACCAAATTTCGCTCTTTGCCCATCGGTAAGTAACGTATCGACAAAATGTTGATTTTCCGATTCCAGCTCGTCCAAGCACGAACACCTTCTTTGTCGGATCTTTGCATTTTTCAAAAATGTCCTTGACATCTACAGGAGTCTTCGTGCCGTAAATCTCTTCAAAGGTACCCATAATTACATCAATGTGATGAGTGCCACGAAGCTTCTTTTCTTTTACGTTTAGTTCTGTGGTTCCTACGATAGCTAAATTGATGTAGCTTTGCTCAATTGAAAAAGATTTGGCCGAATTCATAATATATTCAATGCGGCTATTTCGTTTATATTCATATTTAATCAGTTCAAGTAAATAACTTCGTTCGTCGACCGCTGGAGATCGTAGGTATTGTGACGCCGGAGGATGTTCTTTTATTCGATCAATAAGTTCTCTCACTTTCGAATGAATGTTTGACTGAGAAACGTCGTGAAAGTCTATATACACGAGTTCTCTGGTTATCCATTCTAACCAATCAGAAGGCTTCCAAAGTTTTATATCAGTGAGCATACATGGGATGATTCGTTGGTGTCGTTTCTGTGCATACTGCAATTCGATTTTACAAATCTCAGATATCTGATAATCAGGGGTCATGAAACAACAGACGACTGCAGCATTTTCTATCCCTTCAGCCAACCTAAACAAAAGAACAGTGCAATTGGAGCGTTTAGAGAAAAAGCACTCACTTTGAAGTACATGCCTATCATACACATTATCTGTCATGTCTCCTTGTCTGTGGAGCCAAAGCGGAATACTTTCGGCTTGTAGAAGACGATGAATTTTGGATACAATATCTTGACTGTTCGAATTATAAGATAGCATAACGTGTTTTCCTTCCTTCGGGGATCGGACCACTAAAATATAGGGATTCAATACTACTGAATAGCTAAATGGTAACAAGACTGAGTGCTCTAATGTAACAGTTATTTCCAAAAGGGAAACGCCGCAACCGGCAGCTCTCAGACTGCTTAGAGTTGTGTGTAGAAAAATTGGTGTTCTCGATTGAGAGGAATTGCGTATGTTTCGATAATAGCAAGATGCACTCTAGTTCGATTACGTACTTTCGAGTGTCGGTTGTTTCAGTCACATTCACATCTCCAAGTGAATTGGTAGGCTCTATCATTTTCATGAACGAATTGGTATGCTATCAAGAAGCGAAATACACCGAAATATGCCAAAAATAGCGCATAGTTGTGAGAAAACTATCTCTGATATTCAAGTTTATGATTGCGTTTGTTTTAAACCTCCCTGCGAGTTTGACTCACGATCTTGACAAAAAACCTGCAGGCGAAAAGTTAACAAGGTTGCAAATAGTGGTAAACGATCTCGATGAGTACTACCTTCTGCCTATCTTTAGAAATCAACCATCATCACTAATGAAACAGTGATCTTTTCGGTGTCTTCCACCATTTTCAAAGGCATCATCTTTAACAAAAGGACTTTGCCACTACCTTCTAGCAAATCAGGATTCTACCTAGCAAAGAATAGTATATCCTCCTAGCACTGTGTTTGGAATACATCAAATCAAAGGCTTTTCAAGCAAAATCCGAAGCTCTAGGCTTGGGAGTGAAAAGCTTGAGTTAGAAATGATTATGATCTAAAAGGTTGAGTATGACAAGATTTACGCTTGGTATGAAAGGCTGGGAATATTGCGATCTATGTTATCTGCATTATGCGACTAACTGAAACATATCATATTACAGTATTCTTTGTCCAACATGTATCGAAACGACGCATATAATGTGTATCATTTTTTTGCGGTCATTGTTTTTACTGCGTGTACTTATACTTGGGCATGCAAGCAACTATTTTTTCGCGCCAGTAACTTGACTTTTAGTCAGCTTTCTCTCATCCCCAGACATTTTAGCATGATTAATTGTAGCAGTGCTGTATTACGTAAGCATTGTAAACTTATAGAAACTATTGTGCCTATACAACTAGTGAAGCAGATTTAATAACTGCTTCTTAATAGATTTCTCAATTCTAGAATGCATTACAGTGACCGTCCGATGTGATTACATCGAGAGTGTGTTACGATTTTATTGCAGTCTTCTTTAATAACTATAGGATGTTTTTGCAGCATTATTAACAATTGACGTGGTGGAAACATTTACTCAATTACAAAACTAGAAATCAGAAAGTAATTATATTCAATTCGATTTATAGCAGCTCAAACATACCTTGTTTTGACAAAAATATCGATCTTTTGTGGCTATCTAGTGATTTTGTGTTTAGTTCTACGCTTTCCCTAGACTGAAAGGCTAGGGTCTGCAAGTGGTAATTAATTCATTTGTGTCTGTGTGTCTGTCTGAAACACGTATTGAAAAACCGCTATCTGCCTCATGCTACGGGGAGTTTTTTTTCGTTATTTTGCGTGATAAACGCTTCAAGAACAACTCACATTTCTTCATCTTAGCAACCTTTTGGGGTATTTGTACTTCGGACCTTTAGGTTTTTTTACTTTCAGATTATAAATTATTTTTTATTTCGATTTGATTTGGAATCCCGTAGTCAAAAAAATTCGACTTTTCCTCTGATGGACATTTTTTGATTCCTGCCAGGATGTACTTACTATTGATACCCTTACATACACTTCATTGTCTTTCAATCTAGGGAAGAGTGAATCGGCTCCCGATGAACGTTACTTGTAGTTATTACTTCGAAGAATAAAATATCATGAGGATATCTTCAGCCATTAGCATCGGGCTTCTTAGGCAATTTTATTGATATGGACTAGAGAAAACTATTATTTGTTGGTAGATGCAAAATCTAAAACTAGAAAATGATTTTCTGTGCAAGGTTTATTTGATTTATCAAGCTAGTGGCGGACTGGAAGACATAAGCATTTCCACTAGTCACTATAGACCTCGTTTTCTAAAAGATTTATCGACTGATATGTGTCCAAAGGAATATTTGAAAAGTAAGACTAGAGTAGACTACAGCTTTATACATAATTGTCAACACATTGCAAAAAGAAAAAATGTCATGTAGTATGTTCCATTGGTTCAAATAGTGCAGATAATATCAATCAAAATTTTTCAAATAAAATCCCTCAGGTCCAACCGACGTCAAACTCACGTTTTTCAATCTCAACTAATGGGGCTTGGCGTAGCCCTACACTAAATCATAGACTACGATGTTTAGAGAACTTCGTCACCAGCGCATCAACTTATTAGGCTTCATAGCATTTTTCACACGGACTTACCATTCTTTCAAAGAAATAAGGTAAGGTTTATCCTTGACTTCGAGCGGTTGGCCTATGATACGCACTCGAGTTCCAGGCATAAGAATGACTTCTTGCTCGTCTGGGCATGCTGAGTACTTAGAAATATCCTTGCCATATATCGTCTCAATGCCAAATATAGTTCCTATGCCGCCTAGATAAAACTCAACGACCCTGGGATTCGTCGAACAGGAATTCACACTCCACCAAGTTTGCACATCATCTTCAAAGAAACTGCAGCTAATATTGTTCACAACGCCTCGCCACACCGTAGTTGCAAGCGACGGTAATTTCCCAAGAGCGGTGATGAAGAGTTTCAAGAAGGCGAGCCACGGTTCCAGTTCATGTCGATTTTCAGCTCTGAGCTTGTCGTTGAGTTTGGAATGGAACGGTTTTGGCATTGTATAAAGGTAAATTGCTGCCGATTCGTCTAGCGTCAGTTCAGTACTTTCTTTGTAACATTCTTTTTTAGCTTGATTAGCATAAGCCTCGACGCCAGGAACGTATGAAGTGACACTTTGTACAGCTTCTTCTAATGTTATAACGCACAGATCTCGGTAACCGTATATTGGACTGCAGTACCCGTCTTTAAGCTTCGAGACACTGGTTTGCACAAAGCTATTCTTCTTCATGTTCAATTGGATTATCGATTCCCTATTATAAGCAAAGTCAGTAAAGCATGGTATGTGCCATAAGTCTACTGCAGCATCATTATCCGAGGATCCATCGACAGCATTCATCTACTCATGTATTCACATCAATAGGTCCAGAATCTAGAATTCTAGAATACATGTAAGGTGCCAGTAATTCAAAAATACAGCAAAACATATTTTTGCCATTTTTATACATGGTTAGATAGAGCCAGAATCTACCAGAATATATGTGTTAAAAAATTTTCAATCGTCTTTGCTGTGATAAAAAGTTGAAAAAACTCGAATTTTTTTATATGCCAACAACTATGCTAAATTTTTCGCTACGCACTTTCGAAAAAACAACATTCTTGCTTGTTTATATCACGTGTCGAGAAAGTTTTGAGAATCTCACCTTAACATCCTATCCTCAGAGTAATTGTACAAACTCACTGTAATCAATTGTAATCAATTGCCAATTAAATGCCGTTTAATACGCTATTAATAAGCATTAAAATGGAATTTTTATGACATTGAACCCAGTTTTTAGGTCGTTTTTTGTCATTATAACTGGGAACGTTTAAATGCATTTATTTAAATGTCAAAAAACGGTCAAATAACAGGCATTTAACTGATACCAGCAACCCCTGCTGATCACATTTTTTTGCCATTTAAATATCAACCTTTAGACTGTTAAAAAATGTAAAAAAAATATCTTCTAAAATCTGAGGTATTATCAACGGACTACTTCTTCAAGGCATGTTTCTACGACTCGTATAATTGAAGAGAAAAACTTTAAATTATAATATATTATATAAAATTAGAGTCATTTATACTAGTCATGACGGCAAAATAAAACGGTGACTGACTTCGTGACCCTAAACTCATTTTTACACAATTAACGAGCTATTTTTTGGCATACAGTTAACAGGCTGTTAATGGACAATTAAATGACAGTTTTCGTCGACCTGGGTTGGTTTCACGGGTGTCCACTTTCAAGAATTTACCGGTTAAGACTGCTTTTAATACGATTCTTTTTAATTTTCATTGCTCCGGTTAAGGCAGAATGCAAAATGAATGATTTCATGGAGAACACAACCTAAATTGTTGCAATACTTAAGTGCACTGCAATGCTTTCTAATTGAGAACAAGTAATTCGATCTGACGGCTATCTGCAAAATTGTTATCAGTTCGGATCAGTTGCTTCACGAGAGGGCTAAGCCAAATTTTTTCTATAATTACAATCGTGTTTACTTTTCCTATCTTCTTTGGGCTTTTGAATGCAAAGACAACATTACTGATCTCTCGTTTATCAGTTTTACTAGTTCCCGGTCCTTTTAGGCAAAAGTTACATTTCTTCAAAAGTTTATATCACGATGCAAAGAGTTTGAGAACTTGGTGCAACTGAAGACAGATGTCCGGACAGAATGGAAAACAAATGTAAAAACAAGTTACGTGCCTCTACTCGCGTCTCAGCTAGAAAACAGTCTGGCAGAACTTTCATCCTCGTACGCTCATGGTTGCTTTGGAGCTCCTGCAGTAATGTTTAATGGAAATACTATAGTAGCATGACCATAGCTGTTTATTGATTAATTAACTGGATAAAATAAATTTGATTATTAGAATTACATACTATGTACAAACTAAACGTAGTGCTCGAAAGATTGATGAAAGACCGAATAAAAAATACAGCAAATAAAAAGAAACAGAAAATGACTATTTGAAAAGAAAAAATGTTGCTCAGTAACGGACTTCGATATGTTTGTTACCTTTAACGGATGGCTCAGATTTAATGGGACAAGATCATTTTCTTTTTTTTGGGCTACTCATATACAGTTCCAGAACTTCGTTTTATGCTCGCTCGATAGAGAATTGAATTCTCTACAAAACCTGCTATTTCAATCTCTGACAGCATTTTTCTTGTTTAAGTACCATTCAAAATATTGAATGATGCTCAGTTGTCGCACTACAACGTGCTTTTTTCGTCTCCTTTTTTCAGATTTTTTTAGCCCTTTGTCTAAGTTTCAATAGTTAATTTTGCTAGGTAGAAGGATAGAGAATTTTGTGCTCTATGGATCTCACTCATTCACAATTTCATACAATGTTTTCACTACGTCAACTGGGTTTATAATTAGTTCTCAACCGGCTTTTCAATTTTCTCAAAGTAAATTAATTTTCGTAATTAATGGTTTCAATTGAGAAACTTTATTTATATATCAAATAATGTAGAATTTAATTCTGTGTAAGATAATAATAAAACCATCGATTCCGAACCTCTTACTGCTTTCATAGCCAAAAAACTAAAGTCTGTGAAAAATAGGTTCAGAAGTTAGGTTGTTTTAGATTTATCAGTTTATTGCACAGAAAAATTTTCCTAGAAGACTTGACCGCAAAATTTTGAAAAATATGTGAGGAGATGCAGAATTTTCCGATGAACCTTCTGATGTTTTCAAAATTCTTCTGGAATCTGTTTTCGGATCAAAGCAAATATTTTTCCATTTTCGGTGTGTCGCAGTCCGACAACTGAGCACCATTCAATATTCTGAATAGTACTCAAACAAGAAAAATGCTGTCAGAGATTGAAATAGCAGGTTTTGTAAATACCATATATTCTTGATCAATTAAATAACTTGGTTCCACCTCATTTCGAAGCCATTAAACTATGTTTTTATTATCCAGCGTTGAAAACTGCATACAGAAAACTGTATTTCAAGGTTCTAGGCCAAAAATTATTTTGGGGCGCGAAATGGGCTCGACATATCTTCGGTTTCGAGACCCTCATCTTGCAAACCTATCGCAGTTTTTTGGTTAAGAGATTAAGCAAAGTTTCAAATGCCCTTTGATTCGTGTTGAAACGTAGAATAAAAAAATAAATCGCTTTTACTGACATCCCTTTTCATTGCTGAGAAAAATTCATTTTTTCTAAATCTGAGCCGAACACGTCTGAATTCTGCTCGTAATTCTCAATTTTCACAACTTCTATATGATAAAAAATATCATATTCGGAATCAGGATCAAAAACTGAGTAGAATGATGTGTAATTTGAAATTTTTAGTTTATTTTTATTTTTTAGTTAAAATCCCGAACGTTTTTATTTTTCAAGATAAAAATTCGAAAAATAATTAAAGTACTCGTATGGGATAGAGATACACAGCAGTCGACTCACTTTTTTATCGTGATTCCAAACATGATATTTTATTAATAGATAATGTGCACCGGGAAGACTAAATACCAGATATTCTTGATCAGCATCAAATTCTCTGTCGAATGATGTATGATTAAGCCAAAAATAAAATAGTGCTGTAACTTCGGATTTTGAGCGCTTTACCTAACTACCTTACAGTGGTCAGTTCAACAGAACGTCTCTGCTTTAATTATATAATTAGCTGCTATATTATGTATAGGTCATGTGAAAGAAAGCAGGGTAGCCAACAAATACCAGATCATCGAACGTATACGCACGGAGAAAATCGCTGGCGAAAGTTTATTGCTTGCACTCGATCCTGAAGCCAATAGCCATTATTCGAAATTAAGAAAGATCGTTACAAGTACAAATGGTGACGTTGTCCATAAAGTCCTCAAAGTTATTCAGGGTTGGTTTGTATAAACTAGACATTTTTTCTTATATTTAATGATGCATTATAAAAATTTCTGTCGTAGACATTTCTTATCCAGATGGCAATAAAATAGGGCCCACATTAGTTATTGAAACAAGTAGGCGTAAGCCATTAATTCTGGCGGATCCAACATCTCCAGGTATCGTTCCATCGACACCTGGTTTTAAAGCTCCAGTACCTTTACCTCGCACACAAATACCAGCAATAACCGCAGCAACAGATGTAACTGGGTCGACGGTTAACCGTTCCGATATAGGGAAAACCGCATCTGAACTAGTAGACTATTCCAGTCGAGAAACATCAGTGTTTCTGCTTACGACAGCAGCTACTAGTGCCCCATCATCGACATCAAGGTTGTGTGGAGGGTCAGAAAGCAGATAATCGTGTAAATAAAAATCCAACTAATCCGATGCTCAATGTTTTTGATTATCTAGAATTGAAAAAAATGGATAGGGATGCTAGTTTGCAGCCAGATAAAAACAGACTAAGTAGAGCTGAACTTTAGTTTCTAGGGATATGACTATATCAAAAACTAATTTTGTAGGAGTAACTGAAATGGGTGATGCACAAAAGTGTATATTTCCTGAAATCAACGAGCAATTACCTCTGAACGAAGTTCATGTGAAGCAGATGAAACAACGAGCAACAGAAGATGCTCAAGGTACGCGAAGATGTGATTCAGCAACAATGAATAATAATAGTGGTAAATATGATTTTGTGTGTCGGCTTGTTTCAAAGTTCAAATTGAGCCGGCTTGTAAGTGTGATGAACTGCCGACAGTGTGCCGTTTTCGATGAGTATATTTTTAATACTTCTGAAGCATCGTGTTGCGTTCACCTGAACTACTTACATGAAGGGTTTATAAACATCTACGCTTTTAGAAACTAGAGCAACGAAGCATTTCTGAGTAGTAGAACGGCTAGATTTACTGGCATTTCAAAGAGAGAGTACCACTGAAGGTGCTGCTGAACATCATAAAATGTTGAAACAGCTGGAAGATGAATTTCACAATAATTTCCACGATTGCGCGTTAAGAACAACAACTTTACCAGATTTTTTTATGGAAACAAACCAAACCTCCGTTAAAAAGTCTGTGTTTGATATGGAGTTTTACCATGAAATAGACACAACAGTCATTAACTGGATGCCAAATACGGTTCAGTTATTTCCTATCGATACTTGCTATAAGAATAACATGAAGAGTGTCAGTTTCATAAGGATTTTTCATGCATCGTTTGTTTTTGTAACTTTTAGCTGACGGAAATTGTTTGATGCATGCAACTCTGATAAGTATGATTGGAATGCAAGATCTTAATTTGGACTTGCGAAAACAGTTGTCGGTTTTCACGAAAAATAACAAAGAAATTCGAGATTATTGGGTATTCGAACGTTTACAAGAAGCTGCGATAAACAACTACACTATAGATGATAAAGAGCTGGAAGAAGTATGAAGTATTTTCAGTTTTGTAGACTGCTGATTTTTCACAAAGGTTTTTTCAGTTTGGGAAAGAATCAAAAGGGTTTTTTCTAAAAGAGTTAATCATATACTTTATATTTCAAAACATTACGCAATAGTATCACCATTTCAGAAGGTCCTCTTCTCTGCTCCTTCAAAATGTCCTCGCGGCCTAATTTCGATGGTAGAAGTATGACTGTTTTTACTTTCATCATGCTTTACCCAGTTTTCTCTTCAGGAGCATGATGAAAACTGGTTTTCTTCTTTGTGGTGAAGATAACGACGACGTTACCTTATATGTTTGTTTTTTTACTTTTGATACGCGAAGGTTTCTTAAGATAAAGTGTTTCTTAAGGTAATCGACATATTGACTTCAGAATTAAAACATCTATATGTTTTTGTCTATTATTCTGAAACTTATATACATATTTTTATTTCGTAGATTATACTTAATACAAATAATTCTAAAAAGTCGAATAATATAGTTAGTTTTCAAGCAATAAAAGAAAAAATTAAATACGCTTCTTGCGGTTCCTGTTTACCCATCTCAGATACAGTAAGAAATATACTTGACTTGTCACTGTGGTTAATTCCACCCTCAACGAAGGATCAATATATTTGAACCCAAACACCATCATTTTATCGCCACAATTAATCATCTGTGACTGCTCAGTGATAATTAACTGCTCCTTATCAATGAATAATATGATATCAATTATTCAGTCGATAATAAGTGGTGCTTTTAGTTATGATGATGGATTTGACAGACTCGGTCGAAGATTTACGATCGTCATTTTGTCATCAGCATTCGTTTTTTTAACAACAAATGCATATTTTGGGCAACCGATCGAATGTTTTAGTGGTTATCTACCACCGCAAATGTATATTTGATACTTGAACAATGAATGTTGGTTTCAACAAAACAGGTACGAATATTTAATAACACTCAGTCTAAAGTGAAATTAAAAAATGGTAAGAAAACGACATTACGCTTACAGTTACAAAGCTTTTTACCCACTTTTAGTTTTTATTTTCAATGGACGCCATCGTTCTTGTTTTGTGCTATATTGCTGCTGATTTTGCCACATATTCTATGGAGAGCAATTTTACAAGCAACGGGAATTAATCTTACTTTTATTAAACAAAAGATAGCTCTCGCAATTCAGTCAACTGAACCAATAAAAACAAATCATATCAAAGACACTCCTGAACATCTTATAAAAAGTATTTTATATCATCGTCCATCTGTACTGTACAACTATCAACCATCAACATTTCATCGTTATATTCTTCAACCACAAACATCTGATACATTTCACTTTCTCATGTTTCTGTTGATGAAAACGATTTCATTAGTATTAATTGTTTTACAAATACTGCTTATGTATTATATAATGGATATTCAGTTCGGGCCACAATCCCTTCAAAAACAATTTCCATTAACAGCAAATTGTACCATATTTACACCTAGAACAGGTATTTCTCAGTTTAAATAGAGGCAAATTGCAATAGTGTCCCCATCTCAGTGGAACTATAATACCGAGTATTGCAAACTATTACCTTTTCCTGCATATTTATGACATAAAAATATTATGAATCAACTCCAAAACACTTTGTATTCCCATTTACAATCTTTAGAAACATAACTCTCCATATCAGCTCAATTAATACTTTATCAAAAGAAAAATGACCTACTGGAAGACTTGAAACTATTTTTTTCTTCTTCTGTGAAAGCGACAAAGACTAAAAGAAGTTGTCATAAGGCTATGGTTAATTTAATAAACATTTGTTTACTTTTAAAAGGGCATGAATATTAAACAACATTCGCTATTTGTAACGTTCACATAAATCGTTACAACAGAATCATTTTTTTTATCGTTTTTTATTGGTTTTTCATTCACGGTGGTTTGGCGTGTATCGGAATACTGCACACTTTGTTCAATTCAAAACATTTAACAAGAGGAGATTATTTAAGAACACATCTCAACGTTTGCAAAGTTGCCCCACGTGATATCTCCGAGTACATGACATATTTCGACACAAAATTTCTCAATAATGACGGTATCTTGTTATTACGACAAATACAGCTCGACATTGGCAATTTACTAACAGGCTTAATCGTTGCCGAACTATTCTCAATGTTTGTTGAACAAGAAAAAATAATAATAAAATAACAAAAAAGGGGATGAAGATACACCAATAATCGATATTCGATAAATAGCATCAAAGTTAAATAGATCAATAGTAATTTTGGACAGATTATGCAGTAGCACACAATACCACTTTCTTCTTTTCCCTGGTGTACATATGTGTTTGTGTAGTGTTATTAGTGTAGAAAGTCGCTATTTCTGCTTAAGAGTTTTATTAGCCATTGAGGTAATTATGTGCATAAAAAAATTAATTTTTCTATTTTTTTATGTAATATGATTGTTTGAAGTTGTTCTCTATTTTGTGAATATATATATATCGTATCTGCTATTAAGTATCATTTAATCAAAAGGGATTTATAGAGGAGGAAGTAGATAGAATGTCTGTAACTAAAATCCAACTGTTAAACTATTGAGATATATGCGAAATACCTAGCTAAATACTCTACATTAACTATCATTTAGTTCTAACTCCCTTATCTGTTAACTTCAGTTTCCTGTATGAAAACATCGCAAAATACAAAAAGAATTTTTATTTTCCAACATGGATTTGTTTTGATTATAAAAGGAAACGATAATAATCACTCTATAAACAAAGTATTTATTTTTAAACAATAGCAGAAAGATAGGCAAGTAAAAGAAATAGAAAAGACAAATCTCTATCAAGGCTCAAACGTAACTTGTTCAGAAATTCACTTCATCTCGATCCTTTGAAAAATTATCGTACTGTTATCCAATACTTCTAATGAGATTCTAAAACAGAACGTACATACACCCTTTTGTTTCGAGCATAGAGCATATGTGTACACTTTCACTTTGAATGCAAAGCGTACAAAAACAAAATTTTTTATAGCAAACGTAAAGAAAGAATAAAGCGTGCATTGTACTTTATTTAACAAAATCGGCTCAAAGAGAAAAAACACCAAATATTATAGATGCTATGCTATTATAAACTAAGTAATACGAAATATTTAATCAAATGTTCTGAAACAACAAATACAATTTCTTAAAATTCTTCATAGATAATGTACAAAAAACAATCTATACTTTTCTTTATTTTATAAAAATGAATGGTTGAACACAGTCATACATTTACGGTGGGTACGCCCGTACCCATCGGAAGCAGAAAGTTTCGGTTTTTCACCAACAAGAAAAACGTTTTTGAATGCTTTTTCAGTAATGTTCAGTAGACATAGTACAAAACTAACTATTCAACTGTTTATCCATCTTTTTATCTAACGCAATTTAGAAATGAAAGAAAAGCAAAACCAGAATAATCATGCTATTGTACAGAATAATGTCCACAATGATAGCGTCGACTGGGAGTTGTTATGGTGTTTTGGAAAACAAGCACGTCTTACAGATTACCAAGATACATTTTGAAAAGGCAACGAAAAAACTTGTCGCCGGAACAACTTACGGATCGAAAAACTTTAACTAACGACTTCTATTTACAGTACTTCTGTATCGCTATTATTCCACACAAAAAACCGATGAGACAATAGATACACGCATCTCTATTCCTGAGGCAGTTGCGCGCTAATTTCACCATGTTTTACCCGGTTTCCTCGTCGGGAACATGATGTAATCAGGGTAAATTATTTACGCTCAGTTAGAGATCAATCTTTTAATTCATTTCTCAATTCTGTGGCTTTTTATTCTAAGATCTTAGCAATTAACACGCTTCATTGAACCTGTGCATCGGAAAACTGCTAAGATTTAGTCTATTGTTTAGGAAAGAATATACGCTTTTGATACTCAGAATGATTGAAGAAACAAATTTTCAATTTTTCTACGATAAATAACCGTAATCTCGGAGAGTGTGATGATGAAGAAGACGATGACACACAAGAACACATAAGTTTTGAGAAGACTAGAAAAAGAATAGAAACAATACAATTGTACGATCGACAACGTCGATCGCCTTCTAGTTAGTACATGTGCATAGGAGAGCAATCAATGTTTTTATTTCGTGTTTAAATTAAAAACAACAACAACAACAATAATCACACATTGTCCAAATATCAACCTTGTAAAAGGCTTTAAGTTTCTCTACCTCCTCAATAAACCGTACGAATTGAATCTTTGAAATGACAGAATTCTTTTACGTTTCTGCGGTCCAAAAAAGTCATGAACGGTTATGATTCATAAAATATCGGATAAGATATAATATAAAAGAACCAATCACAAGTTTGATGAATATATCTGTTATATTATCGTTTCTAGGTCAAAATCAATCTATTCCTTTTAACTTCTACAGTTATATGCCTTAAAACAGCTTCATTGCCCTTTTATTTTTAAAATCTATTTATTTCGGC